CGTAGCTAGAAACAACCTACTTAGATACTTGTAAGGCCTAAAAACCCTACACGTCTTATATAGCCCTTCGGGCTGAAAAAGGACGTTAAACTAGAATAATAATAATAATAATAATACCACTCAGCCTTGGAACTGAGCACCAATGATCCTGAGAACGAGCAGCCTCCGTCTATTTGCGATACTCTGGACACTGAGATTCTGGCCTGGCGGGACAAGGGGCTTGGTGGTATTGCCGCCACCTCTGCTACCGAGTTTTCAGATGAAGAAACAGAAGCGGGTCCGTCCATGTCGTATGCAGAGCGCCAGGCCAAAACGCTGAAGAAATTCTCCATGCAGTTGGACTGCTGCGCTTGCGCCGATCAATACCCCCGAGCCTCCCTGGTCATGACACAGTGTGAACACCGGTACTGCATCGATTGCATCAAGAGTCTCTTTATGCGATCCACGCATGATGAGAGCCTGTATCCTCCCCGGTGCTGCAAACAGCCGATTCCGCTTGCCTTGGTTGCCAAGTATATGGCTTTGGATGAAATCGAGGCATTCGAACTCTCCGCCATGGAGTATACCACACGCAACAGGACATACTGCAGCAATCTCAATTGTTCGAGGTTTCTTGTCCCTGAAAGTGTAGAACTTAGCACGAAGCGCGTCGTCTGTCCTGATTGCACGGCAGAAACCTGTGCCATCTGCAACAACACGTACCATGCTGGCAGCGACTGTCAAGAAGATACCGCGCTTCAGCAGACCAAAGAGCTGGCCCGTAATATGGGTTGGCAGACATGCTACGCATGTGAGCGCGTAGTGATCTTGCGTAGTGGCTGCAATCACATGACGTGAGTATAGCTTCTCCGGTACGAGACCTTTCTCTAAACCAAAGCAGATGCCACTGTAAAGCTGAATTTTGCTATGTCTGCGGTGTGCAGTGGAAGGAATATCCATGCGCACCTGCAGATATAAACCGGATTGAAGAGCGTGCTGAGGAGATTGTAGGTAGGGATGCAGAGCCCGACCTACCGCCCGCAGAATGGCAACGCCGTGTCGAGGAGGTTATGCAACGCCTGCGGAACGATCACGAATGCGCACACTCGCAACGTTTCCAGCGCATCACAGAAGGCGCGCCCAGAAGAGGCTTCCGGTGCGAGTTGCGTGATGCGCGTCATAGAAAGTACATCTTACAGTGCCGCCATTGTTATATCAATGTTTGCGAAGACTGCCGTCGCAACCGTATCTGAGTGCGAATATGGAGGGCTGAAATGGAGAATCGTAGTATGGTTCAGCATAGGCTTCAATCACAGTGAGTCGAGTTGGTTCGGAATGTCGTATCGTTGTCGTGCCGTGTTCGCCATGAGTCAAGCACTCTTTCATGTCTGGATAACTAATCCAATCGCGCCGTACAGGTATATCGTGCTTGGCCTGGTCAACCATGTAGTACACCAACCCAAGAACTTACTCTCCTTCATTATCTTATCCTCCACTTTCCCACCACACTGCTGCGCGCACCTCCACTCTTGTGGTATTTTGCCTGTACACGCACAGTCTCCTCCATGTCAGCAATCCGGGCCGCCAATCGGAAAGTGGAAATCTTGGCGAATGAAATTTCTCCCCCCCCCGTACACATGTCAGGTCCATGCGAAAGACCCAAGATACATACGTAAGCCATGTGGCTGCCGCCGTGTAGTGAAGTAGTACTAATAGCCGTAACGAGACTAGACCGCAGTGCGAACCGACTCGATGTGCTTAGAGAGAGTGCAACCATACCCTAAATGTGCAGGATATCCGATAATGGGTTAGGTAGATGATTGGGTGCATGATGTAGCGAGTCGATGGATGGATTGGTTTTGCAGCGGCCAAGTAAACTGGTGAAGGATGAAATTGTGAAACAGAAGAAGCGGTATCATCCGGGCATGGCGAGACGACGTATCACGGAAAAGAGTGTGCCTGGGCTGGACTTAAATGACAATAGTCGAGGCACGACCATTTCGCCAGGCTCGGTCGGATGTCATACAAGTTAGCGTATTATAGAAGCAACAATGGAGAACTCCACACACTGCTGGGATCACCCATGTAAACACATGCTCTTGTGCTCTGCTGTCTGAGTAAACCCATCGTGTACATTCATTTCATTTCCTAATCAACTGATTCAATTCCTGAATGACCTTGTCTGATCCAGACCTTGGGCAGCTTGAGGCTAATACCTGCAAAGCGCCCAGGTGAGACGAAGGTATACTATCCAGTCTATTCCAGACCCTCCCAGCGGACGGGTAACACGACTATAAAATATCTTCAAGACATTATTGACCTCTCTAAAAATAACTCGACCTAGCCTGCTCCGCCCGGCTACGTATGCTGTAGCGAGACTCTTAATGCGAGGCTTGGGGGTATAAAAATTGAAAGTAAGAGGCTAAGTAGGTGTTGCTCCCCATGCAATCTGCCAGTCTGTCATAGAGATGCGCATGATTAGGAATTATGACAAGGGAGCAAACAACCGCCAAGAAAGGAAGCTAAGCGAGCAAAACACACGGCTATAGATCTTGTGACGTACAATCCAAGATGGAATAAACAAAAGGGAGAGAAACCAAGAGTCGGCTGAAACATTTCCTCATAAGAGCGACTGCCGTTACGCGGTTAACGTCTTAGAGCGCCATACCGGGGACTGGTTTCCGATCCGGCACAGGAAGAGGGCCGGTAGGGGCAGGGGCGGGTGCGGATGCGTTAGGGTTCATGGGGCTAGGACCGGGGGCTGGGCCACGTCGTGGGTTACCAGCTTGGCTCGCAGAGTTGGAGCGCGGACGGCCACCGACCTGAGGTGGAGGTGCCATCTGCGGTCCACCACCGTAAGGACCCGGTGACATGGAGCGTGGCGGGTTGGCATAAGGTGCGTTGCTGTTCGAACGGTTGCGAGGGGGGCCGTTTTGAGGAGCGTTACTGTTGGCTCGCATGCGAGGGGGACCCTGGCTCTGCTGAGGCATTTGGCGTGGTCCGGGGCTCATGGGACGAGGAGCCTTGGGGTTCATCCCATTTGCAGGCGACAGGGGACGCGGCTGAGGCGCGCCGCCAGGACCCATAGGCGGGCGGACAGGGGGGCTTCGCACGTTGCCTGGTGGCGGTCCTTGACGGGGTTTGACCGGGTGCTTGGAAAGACATGTTCGGGGAACGACACCTTGCTGAGAGCGGTCCATACGGATACAGAGAGCCTGAGATTGGTTAGCAGAGTAATCCTTGTTAGCAGAGAAGTGCAGACTTACCCATCCGTCATCATATTCATGAAGCATGCGAACAAGTTGGCCGGCGTGAAGTTCGAGTTCATCTTGCATAGAAGGCTTGAAATCAAGTTGGACACGGTGGACATTATTGGGACTAGGGTCGAGGGCCGGGCTCGGGGGACCATTACCAGTAACAGCAGCAGCAATAGGAGGAGGGCCAGTAGGAGCAGGACCAGGAGACGCGGGAAGATCGGCCACTGTTGAGCTGGACGCAGTACTTGCGGGCTTGCTGCTTGGGGCTGGTGGGGCTGGGAGCTCAGTGGTAGGGGCCTCAGATGTAGGCGGAGGCATCGTGGAAATGGCTACAGCCACAGGAGCTTCATCAGTAATGGTGATGACCGGGGTGGGAGGGTCGGAGTGCATAGCAGAGGCCATTGGGGAAGCATCGGGAGGAGAATCAGGAATCGAGGCTTGCTGAGTATCGACAGCAGCCTTGTTTCCAAAGGGATTGGCTGGCGGGGGACCGGATGGCGTCTCGGGATCTTGGAATGGGTTGGCAGCAGGAGCGTTGGCGGCTCCTGATCGCTCCCAGGCACTCGGTGGGCGCTCAGCGGATGCCGAAGGTGAGAGATGTTGCGATTTGGCAGCGCCAGCGGCAGCACCCCCAGCGGCACTGAGCAAGTTTGCTGCGCTCTTGCGCTGCTCTTCCAGCTTGGGGTCGAATTGCGTAACAGGACGAAGGCTGAGACGGGGCGCAGTGTCTGCGGTATGCGCCGAACGGATGCTGGGAGTCGAGGTGGCGGCACCAGCCATGACTTGAGGTGGTGGAGGCGCAGGCGCGTTGTGCATTTCAGTCTTCTCGTTCTGCTGGGCGGCGGCAGCCATTTGCTTCTTCTTGCTGCGGTACATGAGAAGGATGGCAGTGAGAATAGCACAGATGAAGACCAGAATACCGAGAGCAATACCAGCCATGGTGCCGGTAGACATGCCGCCACTATGCTCGGCGTCAGCAGTTGAGGAAGGAGAAGCCGTGGCAGAAAGGGCGGCAGTGGCAGAAGTGATGGCGGCCAAGGAAGAAGCAGGGCCTGACGTGGGCGGCTTGGTCGCTACCATGAGGGTAGACGGCTCTTTGCTCGAACTGGGCGCTTTGGTCTGCCTTGCAGGTGTTGAGCTCTCATCCGAGTCCTGGGTGGGTGGCGGCCTCCTCGTGCTCGTGGGGCGGGCAGTCTCCTGGGGCTGGTTGTTGTTGTCGTCGTCGTCGTCGTCGTCGTCGTCGTTGTTGTTGTTGTTGTTGGCGGCGGCAGTGGTACTCTCGCGAGCGCGAGTAGCAGGCGGGAGAAGCATGATAGGCGGCGGCAGCTTGACTGGCGTCTGTGTCGGCTGGGAACCATCGTCGGTGGCTACGACGAAGGCAGTGACGACTTGGACGGGTCCTTGGGGTTGTCGGCGCATACGGTGCGACCGCTCATGCTGGTAGGCCATGTCGTGCATTGTGGCGTGCAGGCGCTGGATCCACGATGGCCGGCTCTGGAAGCGAGTGAATGCGGATTTTTCCTGGCAATTGAGGGTGCTACAAAGAGTGTCGTGTCGCGCGGGCGGCGTCGAGATTGGTGTTTATGTTTGGGGTGGACTAGGCACTATACAGAAATGAGGGTAAGCATAGGGCTATGCACGGGCAAAGGAGCGGAGGACAGCAGGCTGCTGAGCTGGATGAACGAAGGGCAAGACGACAACCCGGCCGCACGACGAGGTGAGAAGCCGTCGAGGGAATTAAAGAGGCGGCGTGGGAGTGAGAGCAAGAGGGCGAAGGCAGTCAGGGCGCGGCAGAGGCCCTTCCGCCCTATGCCCGCCTAGGCAAACGACGGGCAGGCGGGCCAACCACGCGCCAAATCGAAACGCCGGGGGGAGGGCAGGAGCGCCCGGCCAAGCTGCAGGCGCGGGCCCGTGCGCGCGTCCATCCTTACTGCGCCGGGCCTTAGCCGGGCCTTAGCCGGGCCTTGGATCCAGGTACCCGCCGCCTGTCATTGGCCCGCCGCGCCCGCCCAATCTCCTGCGCCGCCTGACGCCCGCGCTAGTGCTGCTATTCACTCTCTCTGTCTCCGTCTCGCCTCCGCCTCCGCCTCTGCCTCTGCCTCTGCCTCTCTGCCTCTCCAAATGCGTGGCGCACCGCCCCCTTATCCAGCCCTGTCTCCCGCGACCATCACGCTGGCTCCGCTCGTCTCCGTCTCCTGAGGCCATCCCTGCCCGGCTCCCGGTTGCCAGCACGACGGTATTCTGCGCCCGCCATAGCACACGGAGCGTCTGTGAGCTATTACTATGAGCCAACATCGAGCTTCCCGACAAGGAGCCACCTGCACGTTCATTGCTGTGCCGGCCGAGGTCACACGGACACTGCTTTTCTTGGGCCGGAGCACCCTCGCACGTCGCAATTTCGCGCGTCATCAAAGCGACATCACAGCGCGGCAAAGCCAAAGCCACATCCGGCTATAGTGACAGGCTGCATGCTTGCGCCCAACTTGTCATCGCGTGCTCTCGTCGATTGCCGTCTCGACGACACTACTATAGTAAACACACTCCTACACGCGGCAGGCCCGGAAGCCGCCAGCATGGATGCCCAGCGATTGCTACGACGCTTGTACAGAACCCACGTTCATAACAAGCAAAAGCACCCCCTCAACATGGCCCCAACGAACCTGTTTCACTGGCAAAGTGGCTGTACACACGCACGACTGACTCTATCATGACTTGACTTAGCCTTTGCGCCTAGCGTCGCACGTGGCGTCTCCCCACGCTCCTTCGCCTCTTCGAACCGAATCGCGCTTGGAAACAAACAAAGGCGAAAGCTCCGGTTTGCCAAAATGCTGCGGCACCCCACCACAATTTCGCCCCCATGGCCCCCATGCGCCCGCCTTCCTTCTCAATCAATTGCAAACCCCGATATACAATGGTTGGACATTGCCGATTAGTCATCATCGCCCTCGTAGCTCAGTGGTAGAGCGCGTCACTAGTATGCCATGACGAGGCCGTCAGTTCAATTCTGGCCGAGGGCATCTTTTTTGCTCCACACGCCCAAGTCCCCGCGCGTCATCAACGTTCAACTCGCGAGCGCCTAGCGCTGCTTTTTACCTGCAGCACTAATGAACGGGCGGTGCCTAGAGAATGCCAAGCACGCTTCTGCGAGATGGTCCCGCATCTTAATTTTAACGTGTTTGGTGTCGACCAAACATCGTTGATAAATATCGTCATTTTACATGCACCCCTCCATGTTCCCCAAGGCTATCAACCCTTTGCGTTTGCGTTTTGAAAGTGTCGTTTGTTTCACCAGTCACTTCGAGGCGCTAACGCAGTAGAGTACACAATAACAGATAGCCTGTACGTCATACCCGATATACACTATTAATAGTTGCAAAAAGCTAGCGATAGCCTTTGCGTCTGTCTGTCTACACACACTAACCTCGCTTGTACCACTCCAGAACCATTTACACCTTCAATAACAGTGGCCTAAGACAAAGCGATTCTATCATGTAATTATTCGTTAACGAACCCTATGATACATCTATATAATCGGGTGCTTGCGTTCAGCAACTCCCCATCCGCAAATGTTCTGTCCCTGAAACGTTCCCTGCACGTCAACATAGCCTTCATAAAGTGTCGTGGCTGCAGCCGGTTGATGTTCCTGCGCCATCTCCCCAGCAGCGACTGGCTGATGAAACCGCAAAACAGCGTCAAGCCCGGGAATCCTGACGTAGCTGAGTGCATAATAGGTAAGTCCCGTCTGCGCAGAGATAAAAGGCTGCTCGAGACGTAGCTCGCCGTCAATGGGATACACTTCATGGTGTCCATCTGGAAACAGGACCGTCGTAAAGTACTGTACCGGGCCGCCCTTGACCGACTCACTATGCCAAATGGTCATCTTGGCACCGTTGTCCAGATACAAAATCCAGAGGTACCAGCCGGCTTCCCCCAGACCAGGGCCATATTGTCGGTCCAGCCAGGACATTGATTTTTCAGAAACAATGTCGATGACCTCGCCCTTGTATGTCAGATTACCCGTTACCCATTGCTCGGGATACGCAAGCTCATACGTCCAGTCTGTGCCCCAGAAGAAGAGGCCATTGCCACTCCCGTAGAGGTTTGGGCCTCGCGCAGCGCTTTCGAGGTGAAACTCGGCGCCTTTGACGTTACTTTTCACGACCTGAGTTGAGAATAGATCGGGCGAAGTCGAGTAGCTCTCGAACTTGTCGTCGTGGAACCTGAAGGCTTCTGCGTTATACGTGGCGTTGGGCGTGCTGTAAGTGGCACCGAAATAGTATTTATCCGTGATATCCAAAAGAGAGACGCGCAAGGACGAGGTCGGTGGAGAAGCGACGCCATTGGTGAAGAAATGCGCAACCAAAAAGTAGTCGTGTTTATTGCTTCCCTGGAGGAAAAAGATAGTCCAGAAGCTATTCACCCGGTACCTCGAGGCTTCTTGAGTCTTGGTGAGATTGAAGATTCCCGCTTGAAGCTACAGGCCAAGAGTAAGCCAAATGCAGAGCAATGGGTTGAATTTTAAATGCCTAGATAAGACTGACTGTATAATTGGTAGACAACGGACCGACATCAGGTGCTGAGCGTTGGAACCCCAGGGATGTACAGGTGAAGAGCAATACGGGTAATAAGCTGAATTTGGAGAGCCACTTCATTGTGGTGATTTTGCGTTTTCTCTAGCAAATTAAGCGAAAAGAGGCAAGCAACCGATTGTATCCTATTCTGCCTCTCAACGAGATACCAGAACAAAGTCATTTTATATAGTTTCATAGTCTGATCAATTGAAGCTGCATGTGCTGACTCGCCCTTTGCAACTCGCTAGCTCATGTTGTTTTCCTCCGCCCTCGGCCATCCTCTGCCCGCTATGTAGCAAACTTCTCACACTCTTTACGACCTCCCGTCACCCTCCGCCACTCTCCGGCACCATCCGCCGTCTCTGATTCTTACATGGTTCTTCCTATTCCAGGGGCGGACTTTGCATGCCACATCTACCAGGTAAAGGACATCAAAACATACTACAATATATTATAGACGCGGTTGTGCCAAGGCTAAATTCTCACCATAGCAGCTTACTGGCCCCGCATCTGTGGAAAGCTACGCATGATTACCACGAGCTACTATTGGATACAGAACAGCTGATGCGGACATGTACCCTTGGAAGCGGACATAAAGCCAGTGACTAGACCTCTGGTAGAGTTATGCCAGCCAGACGGTTGAACAGGCTAGCATGCATCAAGGACAAAGGTACATTGAACAGTACTTGGTTCTTTTTCTTGATTATCATCTTTCTTCTCCTACTCAATAGATTTTTCCTTCGTTACAAACTATAGTTATGTATTCTCTGATCCTGACGCAACTCGCCGTTCAATGGCACATACTTCATGTTGTCCGAGGCCTTTTGCAACTCAGAAAAGGATAACGAGAACGTGGGGAGCTATGCATCTACTCAAGGTGTATGTGTGATTGATGCAGCAGATAGATATTCAAGGCTTGATTGACATTGCCGAACTAGACATGTTGAATTGTCGGTTCCAGAGGCCTATCTCTCTATCAACTCTGCAGTATGTTGCGAACGGGGCTTGCGATAAGCCAGAATCGCCAATCGACACCCCAAATCAACTGAAAGTTGTTCTAGTGACGAATGAGCAACATTCACATACTGCACCTCTCGTGACTGACATCATCCCCCACTACGGTGCCGGGGCCTTGCCAAGGTCCGCCGACTGCAGCGCATGACCGTCGACGAGCTTCAAGTACCACAACGTGCCTTTGGACTTGAGAGGGCCCTCCCAAATCTGCAATTTAGCATTATCGCCAGTGCTCTCACCTTCAGTAACCAGCATCATCTTGTTGTTTTGCTACGACATCATTAGCACAAAGGTTATCAAAAGGTCACAACCGAGAGCACTCGTGCAAAGTGAGCGATAGGGAGAGAAGCAAACGTACAGCTGCCACGATCCTATAGTTTTCATTAGTAAACTGACGGGCAAGATGATTGATGCAATGACTGACCAGAATGTACCTGTGCCGTTCCGTGTAGGAGCAATGTTCCAGCGGCAACGGACGTTCGTCGGTGATTCACGCGTCACGGTCAACACCGCCTGTTTGGCTCCCTCTACTCTTACTTTAGCCTCGATTTCAGATACTTCTTGTTCACGTAGAGCATATTACCGGCATAAGTCAAATGGTACCCGGTGTTGACATTGATGATGAGGAATTCTTCTTTCCCGGAAACTCCAGTACCCACATGGGCGAACTGCCACTGGTCATTCTTTTTGGTCTCCGCGGACCTGTCCAAGATTAGATGAGTAACAGAACCAGCCTTATTTTTCTTGTAACATGCTGGATAACGAACTTTAAGACGACTACTGCACCATCCTCTTTGCTACCGTCTTTTACGGTAACCGCGGTTTTGGGGTCTTTGAAGTTTTCGATCCGGTAGACGTTTGGTCCAATCCAGTCAGACATGATTGCAGTAGTGTAGTTGCGGTGGAAAGTGTGGTTGTGGGGAGTAGAGTGATGTTTGAATGATGCCTTGTCCAAAACTTGTGGTTTAGAGCCAGACTTTATATCCGCTTGTTGTCTGACACAGTGCAACGGCAAACGCCTACAAGCCACGTCCACATACCGATCATCACAGTCGACACGTATGTTTCTACCACACTAAAAGCAATGTACTGCACTGCACTCCACCTGCATAGCACGTTAGCTTCAGCATTGGCTTCTTGTGTATGCTTACCTGCCGATATATTAGTCAAAGTGGCGTTCAATAATATACAATCGTACGCAAGGTGTAAAAGCAATGATTCAAAATGCGTACTTACGTCGTCATGGCGGATAGATCGGCCGAATAGATGGGCATGGGTGAATTTGTCATGTACTGTTATTCCATTGCTCGAGAGTAGCTACCCCCGTTTACGAAGAAATAACATGTCCGTTAGTGCCTTTTCCACAAACCGGTTGCCGGCGCTGTGAGAAGAGAGGATGTGGGGTCAACAGACCGTAAAAGTTGATTGGACCAAGGTTTCGCCACTAAACGGCGTGCCGATTGGGCCTGCAGCTATTGCGAGAGACAGAAAAAGCATCGGTAGAACTGCAATTGAGTATTGCAGGATTATGATCGGTGAGATCAAACGGCCGCCAATGGCTCGGTCCGTAACGCGTTCCTTTCTTAGCGCGGGGCAGATCGCCACAATATTATACACACTATGACATGCGAGGAGCAAATCGCGTAAGAAACCACACATGTATGTCTTTACATGGCTGCCATGAGCCATGAGCCGTGATGCGTGATCAATCATGGAAAGCGGCTATGGGGCCAAAGCTGGGTGACAGGTATGGCATTGGATTCTGCTCGACGTCCTCTGAATGGAAAGCTTTTGTCTCCCGGCCACTGTCTTTCTCGTTCCTGGTGAAGAAGCTATGTGTGGCTTACTAGCGGTGAAGCAGGCTGCAATTGTGTCGATCGAAGGCGATAGTAAATTAACACGCGCCCAGTCAAGGTAGAGCAGGTGGGGAGCTTGTCTTGGGTTTCCGTTTAACAAGCACTATATTGTAGTTCAGCGCAAGAGGCTCGAGATGCCCCATGTCGCTCTGTAATCTTGGATGTGTACTTGTTAACCTCTTTCTCTTGTCGTGGAAGGAGTTTGCATCAGGTGGTATGGTATGTAACTATCTGCCGCGGACTGACTGAAGACGGCGGCAACGCCAGCAAAGGCAGCATCGTCATAGCCGCCTGCTAGAACATACAGTAGGTAACGGTGAGATACCATGAAGAATGTTAAAAGCGTTTTTGTGCTACAGTACGTACATGATGGAAGGAAAAGCAGGTGACGGAGTATAGGATGGTGTCAATGGGCCGCATGCTGGTCCGGAAGATGGCTTGGCAGGCGAAACTCACTGGCACCGGCTCGGCTCGCCGCATTCTTGGGGCCATGCGCCGAGCAAATCCTCCAGCAGCAGGCTGAGCATGGCGCAGCTAAGTTGCCGCTGTGGCTGTTAAGTAGGCATCATTATGCATAACGCATCGACAGGTGACATCGTGTTGACAGACAGCACACCCTTGTGAGACGGTCGCACTCGCTTGCAAGCCGTGTACAGTAGCCCTTTTTGCACATTTGCTACTTTCGACCTAGCGGGCTCCCCTCTCGACCTGTCTAGGTGTATTTTCTGTAGAAGGCGTGCTCTGCCTCGCATACCACGGTGAGGCTTTCATAGGAATCTCTGCTCTGCCTTTACCTAGTGATTACAAGTGTCTCATTGCTACCCTTTGAAATTAAATAAAATTACCTTTCCCTAGTTGTTAGGCTAGTGTGCTGTAACAACTAATTCTAACAAGGATTTGTTCTTATTGCAGCTTTAGCTGCATATCAAAATCAGTCACGTGTGTTAGCTTAGTCATCGTTTTCCCATAACGTGTTCCACCAGTCATCCGGCCACACCAGTCATCCGGCCACCCCACCAAACTTGACCTAACGTTCTGCGCAATTGCTCTACAACAACGCAATAATATTAGATAGAAATAAGAGATATTATTCCTTATATAGCTCTGCATGAAGTCCGCGTATGCCCTTGAACGTGGCACTTTGTGCACGTTGGCGGCGCGCGCTGACGTCGCTGACTACTATCACCCTGCTCAACCTCTGCAACTACTCTTTCTGCCTCTGCAGCTATCTGCTGACCCTGTTGGACCTGGAGCACCCCACCAGAAGCGATATATTGACGCTGCTGGTCCTGCTTTTGTCGTTGGCGCTGGTTCTCTTCACGCAGCTTCTTATTCTCCTCTGCGAGTATTGTTGCTGATTGCATCGCAAGCTGAGCGCTTTTAGCAAGCTGGCGTAGTCGCAACGC